GTCTGAAAATATTCGCTGAAAAAAGTATCCTTTTCGACTTACAAAGGATAATCAGTTATCTTGTATGAGATTATTGCTTGAAGTGAACTCATGATTGTGAAAATGTTGTGAAGATAGACGAAGTTATCAGCTGACATGCTGGCATATTGTTTTTTCCTTTGATCACCGATTGACCTGATTGCGATGGTTCGTTCACGCAGTAGACTTTCATCAAGTTCTTGTGAAATTCAGTTGATGAAAGCGATGTCAAAAACATACGTACTTCATGAGCGAAATGTGAACGATGTGCAAAATTTCATCGAATATTTGATGCAAGTACGCGAACTGCTCCAAGTACAGTTTGAAAGTACCGAAGAAGCGGTTCTTAAGCGCGGTCTTTGGTATGTTCTTTCCGTTTCACTGTAGTCTCGAATGCATGTGCTTGTGGCTTTGATGTGTTTTCAGTCAGGAAGTTAAGGAATTGAGTGAGTGCGACATACACGGTGCACATGATAATGTGTAATGATAGTAGAAAGCAATTGGGACATATTGATTTTGTTGTAGGTACTGAATGCTTTTTGAAAACATTGTTCCATGGCAGCAGTCTATATGAATTGAAAAAAAAAGCACCAGATCATGAAAAAAAATCACAAGTTGAGATCAAGCAATATATCAGCCAGCAGAAGGGAATCAACTAGTTCAAAAACATGGGCGATGGATTAATATATTACGAATGAAAATTTCAAACGACTAACGAAAACGCTCAGATTCTATGCCCTAGACAGAGATTAACTAATGAGCCGCTGCAGAGAATACTCATCGAGTTATCTTCTTTATTTCATCTTATCAATGTGATTGTATCAATGATTCGATAATGCAGGCAACTGATGAACAATCGAATTTTCTTCCAACATCCGGATTTGATGCGATTGTTAAAAGTTCACGAAGATGTGATGACAATCATGATGAATATTCTGACCGCTCAGCAAGGTACAACCGAACACGTCGAACATCTGGAGACAGCTGCAGATGCGCTGACTGCAGGGGAACTGATTAAAGTAAACACATCTTTCGTTATTTCTTTCATTCATTTTATTCAGATTGAAAAACCATGAAAACAGTAACAATCGCACTTCTAATAATAACAATATTATTCGCACATAGACATCCAGATAAATGTGATCAATTGTACGTTTTATGTTCACGATGCATCCGAGATGGTAGTGGCATGCTCAAGATTCCTTTGCTATTTCTGTCGTACGTCACGGCAAAATCAGAAGGCAATGTTCGAGCATCTCTCCTTCCTGTTGGACAACGCCACTATGCTATTGGCACGACCGAGTCTTCGAGGTAGCTTCATACAAAGTATAATTATTGGAATGAAGAATAATTTTGTAGATTCGCTCATAAATTTACCTTTGAACTCACCTTTGAATTTATTCTTTGAACATACATTTAAAAAGTGAATTTCTTTCACCTGAATAGGTTCTGTTCCATTGGATGTTGCGTATTCGAGCTTCATGGACAATAACGAGTTAGCACTGGCGTTGAAGGAAGAGGAGTTGGATAAGGTGGCCGTTTATTTGAGTCGATGTGGTTTACAGGTCAGTTGGTGATTGTGATTGGTATGTTGCATGCAAATGCTAACCAACTTTGGAGACTGTTGTAAAAATTTGTTCGAACAGTTCATTGTAAATCGCGATTTGCAGCCAAATTCGGAGTTAATCGCGAAAGGATACCCGGATCTCGGCTGGGATCCAGTGGAGGGTGAACGTTACATTGATTTTCTGCGATTCTGTGTTTGGATCAATGGTGAGAGTGTGGAAGAGAATGCAAATTTGGTGATTCGTCTTCTGATTCGTCGACCAGAATGTCTTGGTGTTGCATTGAAAGGTGAAGGACAAGGGCTTTTCTCGGCTTTTAAAGTTGGTTTTAGTTTCGGTTCACCGATTTTAATAGATTGAGTGTTTATTGAAACATTTTTATTGTACTTTGAATCATTACCAAAAATAATTGAAATCAAAGTAAGGCAAGCAAAGCTGTATAGTTTGGAGAGTGAACATTTCCATGGAGTCTA